CTCATACAGAATACTAAACAGCAGATATATCTTTAGGACTGCTTGATATAAACACATACAACAACAAAACACTGGTGTCTATATTTAAAGAGATATATCAACACCTTTAAAAAAGGTACATGCATGTTTATGTACATAAAGAGGTTTTTTTTAATGAACTCCAGCAAAAATATAATACTGTGCACATTTTTACAATAATTAGTGATAGTGCAAAGGTGAAATGATTATTTTCACTATTTCATTCTGCACCCATAAACTACTCTCAAAATATAAGCCTTACTTCTTTTTAGAGTACTAATACTAGACTAGTTCTAATCAAGCTGTCAAAAATATGTATAAACTAATCAGACACATATACTTTCACCAACCCTTCCTTCACCCCAAAAAAACAGTTTTGGTATGTGTCAAAAACAACTCCTACAACTTTGCCTTGTTGACAGATGTCATTTAAAAAAAAAATCCGAAGGAATGCTTTCTAATAATAATAAAAAAAAGGAGGTGCCATACATATTATCTGAGTGGCTGTCTACCGAAACGATCTACCTTGCTCTAATGAGCCCCTATGGATCTTGGGAGATGCAAGCTGTATTGACATGCACACTTAAGCTAATACACCTAGACCAATGCCTCCAAGCTCTAGCAGCCAGGGATGCTGACAGAATATCTCGCTTCTATCTTCAAAGAAAGGAAGTGATTAGTATGTTATCATTACCATTCAAAACGTGATTTCCCTATTCCCTCCCGGCATAGGTGACACATCTCTGAGATGCGGCCAGACGATCGAGGCAGCTAAAGCCACATCAAAGCTTGCCTTGAATTTTTTTTTTAAATCATTAAAACAATGCATTTAGATCAGCACAGATAGGACCCAATGTGAAGGTCAGGAAAGCTGCAATAACAGTCTATAATAATTAATAGAGTCGTCTAATACACAGTGGATAGGTTAAGAGTAAATTGCACAAAAGCCTTTACGTTCATGGGGGGCAGGCCACCAAGAAAAAAAAAGAAGAAGCACAAGCACTTAACATTTAAAAACATAAGTTACAGTCTTCTAATTGAAATCATAACAGCAGCTACAGTGGTGCGTGTTCTTAAGACTCCTGGACAATCTAAATAATTAGTGTTAATTTTATGTACTAACTTTTTTAAAAGGTAGCTTTTCATAATAGCAGCTGCTTTTTCTCTCTGGCTCAGACACCCTGTTTAAAGAAATGTGTCAGCTTTCAATGCAATTTGTAAAAAAATTGTATTGAGACTCAATTTATGTTAGTTTAAACTTTTATAAAGAATGTGCTATATCTGTATCATAATGGGTCAGAAATATTTTCCTTAAGAAAGGAAAGCTGAGACTATAGGATCAGCAGAGATACTTTGGGGTTCAAAAGATGAGAATTCCAAAAGTTAAGAAGAGACACTTCAAATACTGTAGTGACAGTCTCCAAAACTCAGCACAACCCATAGCACCTTTTAATTACAGGAGAGTTATTTAGTGTTGTCAGATGCTTAAAATTAAAAAGCTTTTTTGATCTGATGAAATCTGCATGTGAGGAGGAAATCAGAATTCACATTGTAATGCTGTTATAATTCAACACACTTATCCAATCAAAAATGCAAGTATTTTAGCATGTGTGTTTGTATACAGTAGATAAGAAAAAATTATACTGAAAAAGCAATGCAAGACACCCAAGTCCAGCCTAGCCCTACTCTACGCAATTAGAACACTAGAATATTGTGAATTCAGTGCTAACATGAACTCAATGCTGCTTCTTACCTCTGATTTCAAAACCTTTCCACCTAAGTCATTCTACAATCAAATCTAATTTTTGTTCTAAGTGATGGTGTTATTTACATTCTGTGTTTGGTTTTGGATGAATACTGTCCTTTTGGTCATGAAAGGCAATGAACTACAGTAGCAGCTGATGCTTTCAACTCCTTCCCACCCCTCCCCAAACTCATTCTCCCACACTATCCCCTACCCTTTGTAAGGTGGGTAGTGAGGTGATATAGTCTGTCTTGTAGCTTCAGAAAGAGCCTCCATCTGGAGTTATGTGAGGAAGTTTTGCAAAGTGGCGTGCTATCACTAGAGATTTAGTCATTCCATGTGGGCTGGATTCAAACTGAGATTTCAGAAACTAAAAAGACAGAGCAACACAGCCTCCATAGAATTCTGTGTACTGCATGTGTGTTAGAATAGAGCCTTGGAATGAGAGGAAGTGTACTTTTTATTAACAAACAGTATGGCAAATCAGAATTTCTTTTAAGATCAGTTCATGCCTCCTTAGGAGAACTATAATTAGGGAAGCCTTGATGTTTTACTATGTGACTAGTTTAGAATCATGCCTGAGTCAATGCTTCATTTAGATTCCAATGTGCATTTTGCATTCAATATAAAAATACAACCACAATTATAGCCTATTGCATAGGTAGAACACGGAAACTTAATACATTTAAAATTATTTCTCTGTCAATTCAATCACAGTCTATCCAGAATTATAATTCTTTAACTGGATAAATACTTTGGTGGCTCCCATAACATGCAGTGAGATGACAAAAAAAGGTAACAGATAAAACTTACAAAATAATCAAAGATGAAGAAATTACTAGCATGTCATCATACAACACGATTCACTAGGTTGATATACAAAAGGATTTAAAGTCTCAAAGAGTTGATAAAAGACAAAGGCATGGCCTTTTGCAACAAATACTGAATTATCTAATTTGTTGGCATGTGGTTGTTTTAATGTCCATCACTACCATTATACAAAATTTACTATTTAAGTGGCAGCTGTGCTCAAATACTCTGCATTCAATTTTGAAAGTATCTTGCAAATGGTCAGTAACCATGTTTATTAAAAAAGGGCCATAATTTGTTAGCAAAATGCTCCTATTGCAGCCTTCTACAAATGTAGAACTGTATATATGCACGTCTATGTGCTTCCATGAAAGGGTTTGGCAAGTGTGAGTCTAAAGAATTATCCTTTGCTACAACTCATATCTGGTCTTAACATGTCAGAAATCACATTATTAGAATCCTTGCAACAACATTCTTATCTGTTTAAATACAGGGACTATAAAGAGAATATTAAGGAGGAGAACTAGGTAATGGACCTAGGGAGGGCTTTCACTTGGTCTCTCATATTTACTTTGTTTTTAAGCTTTCTTTTTCTCCTCATTATCAACCTATTCATACCAGATCCATTTTGGGCTGAGAAGGAGAGACAAGCTGCGTATCTGGGACATTGGTAAAAGATTCTTTAAAAAAAATTAAAGCCTTGTTACATCAAGAACTCCCCTTTGTTGCTATTGCTTTGGTTAGCTCCCAGTTCTCTCCCATCATCACTCCTAGAACTTACAACAAATACTTTTCCCAGAGTGTAATATCCATTATTGATGTGTCAGTTCATCATCATCGTCGTGTTGTTCAGTCAGAAGGTAATAAAGACAAGACTAACGCACCATACAAAAATGTTAATACGGTGCTTAGTAGGAGCTCTCTCTAGGAATCTACTCAGAAATTTGGCCTGCTAGCAACTATGACTCTACTAAACCCTTATTGGTAGTAATTAGAAAAAATAATAATAAAAGCAGTGCAAGTACCTGCTTTTGCGCATGTGCACCCACCCACCCCACCAACAACACGCACTACAGTGGCCAGCGCCTTTAGAAAATACACTACAAAATTTCAGTAATTGACCATTAGAACTTAGATTTCTGGCTCTAAATATGTATGAGCCATTTCCTAAGTGAAAGGACAGGTGCTTCAGAATACTGATCTTTAGTGTTACACCTACAGATCTACCACATACACACAAATAAATAATAAATATTGATGTGTGTGTGTTCAGGTCTACTTGTACTATATTTTCATTGTGTATGCAATGCGTTCATACAATAGGTATTTCAATTGCTCTACACTAAATTTAATGCATAGTGAAGTAGTACACATGTTTGATAGTGTTACAGTAGAGGTTTTCACCAAAGCAATGCTTACATTTACAATACCAATGTACAAATGTATTTACCCCATCAAAGATTTTGTGATGCAAACAAGATTACTACTACACCTGATCTGATCATGATATTCTAACAGATCAAATAATAGTTTTTTTCCTTCTTTTTCCAATGCCTTTAAAAATTCTCTCTGTTATCAAAGAATGTTAATTTCTAAGGTTTGATCTAGGGAGTCCCATGTAAGTGTATAGTTATTAGAAGAAAACAGACACATAACAGTGAATATTTTTAAGCAATGTAATCAATATTTTTGCTTTGTGTAGATTTCCCTGCAACAATAAACAAAAAGATCTACTTTCAGATTTGGAAATTCAGCTTTAAAGGGAAAGCTAGACAACAAAAAGCAAGAAAGTACTCACCTCTTCACGTAATTTTATCAACTGCAACATGAACGCACAAAAAAGATAAAAAGGAAAGAAATGGCAGGAAAGAAAGATCAGTTGTGTGACAGGATACAGAATTAACATTGACAATTTATCTGTTTACATGTTTAGCATTTAAAAATCACAGACAAACACATTAAAAGAACCTAAACATAGACTACATGCAGAGTTTTTTGAACGAATAAAGATCACTTTCTCACACTGTCACATTAAACAAAGAGAATAGTGTGAAATTCTCTTTTAAACCACATCTAAGACACCATCATGAAATAAAGGGGAATGACTTCATAGAAGTCTATATTATAAAGAAAAAAACAAGTTTACTGTTCCTCTCTTCTAAGATTGTACAGCTGAAGTGGTTTTGTATATACAAGTTTTCAGGATGTTTTCTGTATTTTTTTAGTTGTGACAACTGGTTTCTTATTTTACTAATAGATCTGACTTATTAATAGACTATAGTATCTCTATAGCTTGTCACCGGTATACCAATTGTTATACGGTAATTCTTATTCATAATGTAAATGCATTGTTATTATTGAACCTATTATAGCAACTTTTTTTCCAGTTAAAAACAACCCAACTTATGTGGTTTAGTGTAAGAGAATACTTATTCAGTGCACAATACATTTAATAATAGGTAAAAGGAATCATGGCTATCATGAAACATGATTTCTTTCAAAAAACATCCACTTTGCATATGCACCCTAATTCAGGATCACTATATTTTATGTATTTTTACATAAAGGTGTAGTCATAAATCAGTCCAGTTCACTGCAATCTACCTTTTTAACACTATTAATACCATTGTATTGGCAGGACTATTTAAAAAAAATAACTAGCTTGAATACCAACTACACTGTAACATGTATCTCCCAAAATGGAGAGCGATCCATTAGTTTGTTGTACTAGAACAAAATAGTACAATTACTCACAATAAGTGTATGCAAAGGGATGGTCTTTATGAAAAAACGGAGCTCTCTCACCGATTCCAGTTGAATTGGACAATGACAATCTCAGTCTATGCTCATGTTTCATTTACAATTTCGCAAGACTAATATTCAACTTCTATGTAAGATGAGAATGTTTACAAATACTGAGAATCTCCAGCAAGAGAGAAGACCAAAAATAAAAATCCATTAGTTCCCTGATATTTCATATGGTTGGTCTAAAATTAAACCTATGCTTCACCCCATTACCATAAAACAAGAGACAAAAGGTTACTAACCATATAAATTAGGAGGGTAACTACTGCAGTAACTTAAAATGAAAGATAAAGGAAACTTCCAAGAATTTGATATAAAGAAAACCACACTCTTTACCCACCAAACCACTTCTTAAAATCAAGTACTTGGCCTAGCATAAATCGGTCTCTCTCTCTTTCTATCTTCCCCCCCTTCCTTCCCCAAAAAGGCAAACATTACGTCTCTTTAGAAAGAGATGATCTGGGAGTTGATCATATAGCTATCTTTTCTTTCTGAGGTCACCATTCTTCAGTTGACTATGATACTTAAAGGGCCAAAGTTTAAAACTACTCTCCTGCAACAGAGCCCATTTGTGGCATGCCACCCTGCTATAATCAGTGAGTTTCAAAACGCTGCACATTTGTTTTTTCAATAGGTCCCAAACAAAAAATGTTCTATCTTGTTTGTGCTGCATGGCTGAATTTAAGCTCTGCATAGGATTTGCAGCTAAGCTAGGTAATGGGAGATTTTTTTTTTTAAATTGTTGTCTGAGAGATATTCATTCAAATTAACAAAAGATGTATTTTTTTCCATCTAACAATGCACTTGAAGGAAACATATTGCCTTTTTAATTTTTATGTATTTGTTTTTATTAAGCTTGCTGCTCAGTTGTAAACAGCATTTAAATGTGTATTGCCACCATTTTAGTTTATGAAAATCAACATATTTTTGAAACAAAGATTTCCCCCCCCTCCCAATATGGAATTGATACAAGAGGTAATCTGTTCCTTTGTAGGCTAAAAAAAAAAAAAAAAATCTGGTTTATGCTGGTTTGAACCAGCGGAATCTCTTGTGGCTAAGCCTTCTGCTGTGACTAAAATCAAAACTGCGCCGCAGTGTGCGTGTGTATGTGTGTGTCTGTGAGGCATGTCACGTGACACAGAAAACTACCGAAGTTTTTTTTTAAAAGCTGATAACGCTACTGTTGTCTCTGTCCGCATACAGATAACGAATAAATGCTGAACTCTATTAAACGCCCTTTACACATTATCGTGGGTCGAACACACAATTTTCTGAACTTATGATGACAGTCTATTTATTTTGCTATAAACCCTCGGCATGTAACGAACAGATTTGTGTCTGGTAATGATCTGCTCTGCCAGGGCTATATGAAATGATACCAACCTTCTTTAGATCTTGGGGAATTAAATTGACCAACTTCACCCCCTGGTCTGTAACTGAAGTTTGACACACTTTATGCACAGCAAGCCCAAATCTAATATTATCAGAACTTTGTAGTCAGAAATTAAGTAGCCACAACATTTGTTTACCACAAATCACACATACAGTGTGTGATGTAACACACACACACGTGCACACATATAATTTAACCTTCTGGTTAACTAACAAGGATTTACTCAAACAAATTAGCGAATCTAGTTTGGGAATGGAAGGCAACAGTATTACATTTCAAACAAACAGATTTATAATGCTATAAATACCTGCATGCTATATTTTTGGTACAAAAAGGTTTCTTATTTAACCCTATAGATGCTTTCTAAAAATATGGAGTCATCACATAAAACAACTGTACAACTAATAAATGGAAGCCACAACTTTAAGCACTGTATCACTGCACTGAAGGGCTCAAGTCTTTCAAGGGATTTGATGAATGCTGCCAGTCAGAATGACAAATAAGTCTTGAAAGTAACAGTCCTGGCTTAAGACAACAGTCCTGGAAAAAACGATAACCCAAACATGCACAGTAGGGTTGTTGTTGTTTTTTTGTCTCCTATTTTTATAACTCAGAACATGCTTTATCTGATTATGTTCACTGGATTTAAATTAGGAAAAAATTAATATATACAAAGCAAGCAATTACTTCATTAAATACAGCATGCAATCACTAGTATCTACCATACCAAACAAAGATAAATTAATTTTAAAAGAAATTTTGATTGCTGGAATTTGTACGTATTTGTACATATTTTGACAACCAGCAGCTTTTATATCCTGTAACTATTATACATTAGTCGTATCTTGACGTAAGCATGGAGTCATGACCATATTCTCAGACATAGTACACCCTCATTTGCAATGTTTTGCAATATTAATTGTTCCTATGCAGATCCGTTTTGAGGAACAACTGGAAATTGAATTCTGTGTACTTGTTTACCTGCCTAACCTCAGGCATATTCTGTGTATCCACTAACTCAGTTGTGTATATCGCTCCAACTATATCTTTGAAACACAAATAAAGTGCTAACAGTTGAATAAACAAAAGATTAACCAGGCAACTGATTCTTCATTTTCCCCCCAATCTTATTTTTAAATGAACTTAATCCACTATTATATATAAATATATTCAATTCGCCTTTCCTCTCCAAGAAACAGTTATAAAAAAGTTTAATATGACTGCCAATGTTCTATCTAAAGAATTGTACAAGCTTAGAAGTTTATCTCTCCCTCACCTGGCTAACCCTCAAGCCTACCCTGATATTTATCTCCTCCACTGATGGATTTTACCAATATTTCTAGTTTGCTAAAGCAGCAATTCTTAGACAACACCTGTTTTTCATTGATTTGTTCATTAAGAAAAAACTAGGTTTGAGTATTGCAGGGAAAGACAAACAGCACTTCATTTCATCAAATTAATCCAAACCTAACAAATAATTAATTAGTCTAAACCCTGGATTACAGGAAGGGTTAGTCCTTCCACCTGTACTTATTCTGTCAAACAAACTTTTGCACATGAGAAGGACACCCCTAATATTTCATATAGTTTTCAGTTATATTGGGATGTTATGTTGGATAGGTAACGTTTTATATTTATAAAGTGCTTTTGATATCAGTACAAAATGCAATAGCTTTTTGGGTTATTGGATTAAATACTCATACATAGTTGGCTAATTATTCATATAAAAATACCCAAAACTTACATTTATGGTTGATTTAAAAAAGCAGCACCTAATGGTATGTCAACTTTAGACTAAAAAGTTTGTGTGTGAGATAACCAGCCAGTTGCATGTACCCAAGACGATACTCTTATGATTAAGTATTTACTTAGCTGTAACAAGTATAGATCATCATTATATTTTCATATGAAAAAGTGATAGAAAGAATTGGAACAGTCCAATAAATATGAGGAAGTTCTTTGTGAACATTAGCCTTCATGTATTTAAAAGAAATAAGCCAGTTTCACAGCAAAGTTTCATGCTTATAAAGTTTGTCAAAAAAGAAAACAATTTTTTTTCCCAGTGGTACAAGTGTGTCAACTTTAAGACATTAGTTGCAAATACGGATTTATATTTCTGAAGAGAGCCAACTGTTCTCCCCCCTCCACATTTTACCTTAGGTAACAAGTGGTCATTTCAAAGAGGAAAAAAAAGCAAAGCCATGTTGGCAAATAATTTTAAATTTACATTATTATATAATTCTTTTAGGGGACACCATTCTTTTTAATTTTCCTGAGAGTTTCAAAAAGAGATTACAACTCACAAAAAGTGCACCTGTGAATCAGTTATTCAGCCTTTCCTTAAAAAGCAAAAACAACATTTTATCTCACACTCACACATTAGGTATTCTGTTATAAGTAAAACTTCTTATCACAACTGCCCTTTTATGTCTGATCTCACACAAATTTCTCTTAAAATGTGAAAACAGCAGTGTAGTTAAAAGACATGAAAACCCAAATTGTATCTTAACACCTTTATATGTTTGAACTTATGTTGATGACATGCAAATTATGAAAATTCTTTCCCTAAAACAAACTATCATACTCTTTTGTATTTAAAAAAAAAAAGCTTTCAACTTATTCAAACCCTGGAAAATCTCTTGCCATAATACATGAATATGAAGATGCATACCTTGTATATCTGCCTCTTTAAATATGTATCTAAAGCTATTACAGTCTCTTTTTATGGTATACAGTAATATTAAATACAATATATGATTTCATCAATATATGTATTAAAGTCCATCATGTAAATTACTATTTATCCTTTCAATATTGTTCAGATAATATTGTTCAGAACTCAACCTTTTTAATCTCAATATTTTGGACATTGAGGGACAAATCTGAAGGCTTTACTTAATTTAACTCAGCTATTCCTGAGGCAAAACTCATACTGAAGTCAGAACTGAATAAAACCTCAGAATTTGGTCCTTATTTCTCCCCAATTTACAATATCCAAATAATTGAATTTATTGTTAAGTAATCATTTACCAAGCTTCACTTGTAAAATCAAAGTTATCACAGCAAAAAATTTATATTATTCAAGTAAACTTTAAAATAACTTCTAACTTAAAAGTACCAAATGCTAATTTTGGTGTGAGGGAAGACAAGGGAATTGGTTTAAAATAAAATCCGGTTTTCAGATAGAAAACCTGTAAGACAAGTTTGAACCCCAGATGAAGGTGGGTTAAATCCCCCTGAAAATAGTGTTTCCTTCATCATTTTTATGACCTTATAAGAATCTTGATAGCGTCCTGAATAACAATTTCATGATAAAACTCAAAAAGGGTTTACAGTAATTAAGCACCCTTTCATAAAAAAAAATGTATATAACATTATAAAACTCTAGTAAAATGTGTGAGAGAGAATTACAGGCTTTTATTGGTGCAACTTGCATTTTTGGTACAAGGAAAGAAAACCTGGTTAAGAAAGGAAGGGACACAAGGAAAGTGAGGGGTACTGTTCAATTCTGAGAGCTCACTTTCATTTGTTTTGCCTGCCAGTGTTGATTTAATTATACTGCATTATTATCAAAGCTGCATTATGTACTTTTTTATTCCTTTTACATGTGTTTGAGGTGAAGACCCTGGCTTTGTCAGCAAACAGTGCGTTTCAAGTTATTCCTTAAGTACTAAATAATAAAGAAAAGAGAAGAAAAGATTTTTTTAAAGATAGCAGACAGTGATCACAAGGTAAAGGGTTAAATGTAAGATCTCCAAGAAACATTTTGAAGTTGATTAAGACCCCAGCTTTGCATTAAACAGTATCACTTCCACATGAGTTGTTGCTAATGCTGTTAAGGAGCAGCTTGAGAAGCCCAGTGTGCCAGTGACCTCCTTCACCCTCCAGCCACCCACTAGGGCTTCTTGATTAGCATCCTACCTGGTTCTCTGAGGAATTCCCATCATCCCCTAGGAGCTCATTCCGCACCTCGTCACTGTAGGCAATCCGTGACCTTTTCTGTAAAACAAAAAGAAAAAAGCGTTAGGAAGTAAAGCTTCGAAGCCATCGGTCTCAAGGCTGATCATTTTAAACCTCGAGAGCCCCCTAATGGATACCTATTTGATAAAAATCTGCAAGTAAAGTTACTGAAAAGTTCCTTAACTGCAGAATTTCAATATATATTAATGGAAAAATATGAACATATTTGAGGAGATTGTAAAAAGTCACATTCATCAACAAAACTTGCCTAGTAAAGCACATGGGTATACAGTATGCAATTCCAGTTTTGAGAATTAGAAGATTTTAAAATACTAACTTATTACAGCAGAATCACTGCAGATGTGTTTATAGAGGCATAGATGTATTTATCTGAAGCTATCCTATTACCTGGAAGGGGAACTCTTGAAATAAAACAGTAGTAATGTCATTAAACAGGGAAGGAACTTTTTAGCAATGTACATTGGCCCAAAAGGGTTTAAAATGACAGATCTAGAAAATAAATAAGGTTTTCTTTGTTGTTACTGTAAAGGCCTATGGGGAAAAAAAGGACCATGAGAAATCTGAGGGCTGGGTATATGTATGTGGAGGTACAACACTATTGGGAAATGTAAGTTTACTTCACTTTACATAAAAACAATAAAACTTGGTAAAATCAGAAAGCCAAATATAGGCCTGTTATAAGAGACCATGTCATGATTTGTACAGTCTTCAAATTCCAGACTGTCTCATTAAATATTCATGCCTATTGATTCTAAATTAGCATATTTTTAAGAAAGTTATGAACAGTTGAAAACAAGGGCTCAACCAACCATCCCAAGGTCACTCAGGCACCATGGTGTGTTAGAATTCTAGAGACAGAGCTCAGCCTTAAAGTTTTGTGACTGCCAGCAAATTATACAGTACCCTTTTACTTTCGTGCTTCAATTTTCTACATTTACCACTGAAAGGGAAAAAGATATTTTAATTGATTGTTTTATAGCTTTTTTTAATTAAACGTGGATATGACAAGTTTTAATATACATGAAAGGAAGAAACCTAAGTGGCTAGAACTAATATTACTACAACTGGACTGGACTGTGAAAGCTTCCCCGCACAGTTCTGCCAAAGCACTCCAGTTCCGACCTACAATAGTACCGGTAGCGACAACTCATGAAACACAGCAATCCTCGACCTTACCCAAGTTGGCTGCCAACTGTGCCAAAAACTTGCCTCAGTTTGGGATGCAGACAGCAGTTCACTAGAGATTAGACTAAGCACGTAGAAATTCATTACATTTGTGACCAAATAAAAATCTGAAAATAGTCTTCTTCCCAGTGGTGACCTATCAGCGAACTAAGCCAGGGCACCACCCAGCTTACTTGCAACACTTTTAAGCTGTTTAGCCTCTATGATTTAGGTTTGCCCTTTCACTATCATCATCATTATAATGCTGACCAATTTGTGGTGCAACTGCTAGTGTTTAATTCTAGATTATATACTAAATCTACAGCTGTACATAGGAAGGACAAAGCGTACCATGGACCTACTACAAGAACTGAACTGTGCTAAATCTCTTTTTCCCTATTTGGAGAGCTCAGCCGCAGCAGTTTCATACTAACCAAGCAAAAGTAGTCTACAGCATTAAAGGAAATGAGAACCTTTAAACAGGCTGTGGTATCAGAGCTGCCTGTTTAAATTATTCATTTCATCACTATGGGGGACTAAAACACTCCACAGTATGCAAGAATATCATATGGAGATGGGTTTTGTTTTTCTCTTTTTTTCACCAAAAAGCCAACAAATTGGCATAGATTGCTCAATTATATTATTTTCCTATTTTTACTTGATACACATCAAACCAAGGAAGGAAATTATAAATATATGTCAATAAATATCTAGAGCGACAGCGTGGGTGAGGTAATATCTTTTATTGGATCAACTTCTGTAAAAGATATTACCTCACCCACCTTGTCTCTCTAATATCCTGGGACCAACACAGCTACAACACCACAATAAATATCTAATCTTTTTTGGTTAAAATCCAATCTCTACATATGAAGTCCAGCAATCTAAGTATACAGTCTTACACAATTCACCTAACAGCGCAGCACCATGGACATTGGTAATGTTAACCATATTTGTCACTATTACCTTGCAATGGTAAACATCACGCTCCATTAGTTTGTTGCCAGGTGTACCACTTGGCTAATTATAGAGAGTTTGAGGAGTTCTTGGTTTCACATAATTCATTTGAATGATTAAAGTGGTGATTGTTCCAATTTGTAAGGGACTATATGAGAAAAAGCGTGCTTTATGACAAAGAAACAGCATTTTTGCAATCATTCTATTTTTTTTTTCAAAAAGACACTATACATGTCCTTCATGTCAATATAAGTGCAGCTAATAATGTTTGTACCACTGTTCTTCTATTACAATGATCTGTCCTGATTAGAAAATCAGCAGTTGTACTGAAAGAAATAATCTTTTCACTACAACTAGGTGCAACTCTTTGCCTTAATCAATAAATAATTTGATATTACTTTTTATCACAGTTTCACCACCAACTGAATCAATAATATAAAAGGACCTTGGAACTAAAGTGCTCATTTGTTCTATCAGGATTTGTACAAAACATCAATAGTTCATTTTCTTTAACAAAATAATAAAAATAATTGTAGTAATTTTGCTAACACTAATCAAAATTAACAAGAAAACAGTTTAATACAAATCTGATAATTATAAATATTTTAAGATTTTTTTTCTTCATAACTATCAACTGTATATAAATATGTACTTTAGCCAAATGCAAGCATGATAGTTTGAGCTGGAAATGTCACACATTCTGCTACAGTTTGAAGGAACCCAATTCATAATGCATTTTATAAATAGTTAATGACTTCTATACATAAGCTAACCAGTCAAATCAAAAAATTGTCAACATTTTTAGTCTTAGTTGTCAGTTACCACTGTCTACTGGTACTTTATATGTATGTTCCTAGAAAAGACAGAAGCTTTACAGAGTTTGTAATCCAATGCATTTTCTGGGCAGCTCAATATGAGTTTAAGAGCTTCTATGTACATTTTTTCTCTGCAAAGATTTGTCAAGTACAGCAGAAGTTTTTCTTGCATTTTGTATATATACGTGCTAAGTTCTGTGCACAAGTGTTTAACATTACTGAGTGTATCGGTATACGTGTACACGCTAAGAAATCTTAAGTAGTATAGTATACGTGCACACACAGTTACACAAAGGGGCTAAGGTACTATCCACAAGAACTTCTAGACAGAGAAAGTTTCAGTAGCTGCTTTAAATGGACTACAGTACTCAGACCTTCTGCCAAGGAATAATTTCTGATTCCAGGCAGATCTCACTTGGTTTATGAACAAGATTTTTGCATACTGATTGGGTGATTTTCTTAAAGACCTGTTCACACAGATACACTTGCTCAGTTCTGTCTGGCAATTTGGCTTTAAACAATCTGTCTGCTTGACCCAAGCCTTAACATTTCCGTACTGAACTGAATGTGTTCATGGACAGGCACAGTTAAATTAGAAATAAAATGAATTAAGTCAGTTTAAACTAATTAAGAACTGTGATCCGCAGTACCACCCCTTGTATGATTTTACATGTAAAGTAAGGTACATGCAACCAGAGTGTAAGAATTCTGTTATACTACTAATCTGAGCATAACAATGAAGTTAGTCTATTACTAAAGTGTACTAGAAGCTAATTTCCATAGCCTACACATGGCAAACCAATTGCTTAAATTGCCTCACCTGGGAATGTAATACAATGTTATCATCAGACCAGCCACACTGTAAATAGATTTATAATGCTTTCCATATGCTAGGCTATGTTGCATATGAATTAAGTAATGATCTGGTATTACAATACAATCAGCTAGTTCCCACACCTGGCAGACAGGATATTTTGCTAAATTACTACCTATACAGCTACATCACAAAATAAAGAAGGAAACAGCAATGGGACGAGAAACAATCTACATGGCATATGACTGATTTTACATAGTAATCCAATAAGATGTAGATAGAGGTGCCCGAAATAATCTGTTTCCAACATCTGTACAACAGAATGCATGCTTATTCATTTCTAGTCAATTCCGGCCTAATTTTCCACATTCTATATTTTAATTACTCATCCACATTCAGCAATGTTCACATTGGTAAGGGCAAGCACTAGCCAGTGCTCCTCATTTCTATGTACTTTCAGCAGTGAGCCAAATAATTGATGTAAATCATTGCATGTTTTTGTAACTAAACTAAGGAACAGCGTTTCTCCCAATTACTAATCAAACTAGTCTACAGACACCCAAAGCTAGATATATTTCAGACAAATGGCCCATTCTAGCCCAATTATTCCTTTTGTCCAAACCATCATTTTCCACCTTGATGTATTTCAGAATGGTGACATAGATTTTTTTTGTAAACCATGTGATAAATCTATAAACAATAAAAAGTTTTGCCAATACTTTTTTTCTTTTTCAATATTAGATGCAGTTTTCTAGAGTATTTTGGATGGTTAAAGAAACACCGCCTATTTGAAAATCACATTTCTGTCGGAAAACTGGACCTACAGTAAATACAAGTAACATCTAAGATTACTATAATTTAATGCAGTTGGGAGAAATTCTATTTTTAAAAACATATGTACTTTGTGCATAAACAGTTTCATGTTGCCCCTGTAAAGTTGGAGAGCTAAGATTTGATCCAGCATGTACCATGTTTGAGCAGACTGCTATCCTCACACACTATATGTTGCAGGACTGGAACCTTAGTTCCTTCCTTAAAGCATCCTCTGTGAAGCAGAAAATCTCTTCAAGCACGTTTTCTGATTTTTTAAAGAGAAAAATTGGCCTCACTATTTAAAGGGTACTCTCAGAGAAACAACAGAGCTTTTTTAATTAGCCAGCTTTTCAAACATTAAGTGGACAAATTCTTTTTATGGAGAGTTAAATCATATTGACAACTTTTTTAAGAAAATGCATTCAACTTTAGTGTCATGAACAGATCTTATCCTA